CAAGCCTAGACAGGGGAAGTCGAGAGGCAGAGGTCGGGTTCGAACCACGGACCTCCCGGTCAGTAAATTCGCTCTGTAACCACTTGGGCCATCTCTCCCAGCTGTCGATTGTTTTGTTCGGATACACACGTGTCCTGATTGGTACTTTACGTCTCCACTACTTTGGTGAACGGTTGTGACTAAGTCAAACAATAATGGTAACAAAACATAAGTCACCTATCTGTGGAGCAGTGACCGCCTTGTCATAGTTTGTAAAAGATTACGACAAAGCCTGTGCCGTTGACTGTTAGTCCACCCACAATATTCAAGTGCAAACGCTATAGTTCTTCCGTCTATACTTCGTTCGGACTTTGTTCTATGCTTCGCCGCCAACTTTTAAACCGATTCGAATCATCAATTTTGGCTTTTCAGCTTCATATCCTTTACGCTTACAGGACGGACCCCTTTTACATATTTGTGCTTCGACCATGTCTGGCCTGGTCGCCGCTCTACTAGGGACACCGGCAGATTTGATCAAGACCCGGATCATGAATCAGCGAGGCTCACTTCAGTCGAACGAGCTGCTCTATAGTGGTGTGGTGGATTGCGCCTACAAAATTGTGAAAACAGAAGGATTCTTGGCTTTGTACAAAGGCTTTTTTCTCATCTGGGCGCGATTGGTGAGTTTCCTTGTATTCCAGCGCAATCCTTGGTCGATATGTTTTGTTCGTTCGTCTGCCTCCACGGTGGTGTTCGTGCTATAGCAACGGATGTCATAATGCTTACGAATACGGTCTTGTTTTGTAGTCCACCGCCAACTATTCTCGTCTCCAGAACTGTCCGCTTTTATGTGTGATTACGCGGCACCAAAACTGTGAAATTGTGTTGGAGAGATCGTAAAGGTTCATCGAGTTTCTCGTAAAAAAAAGCGAACATTCGTTCCACCGGTAAATGCAGCCCCCCGTTTTTTGCTCCACCTACACGAATCTGGCACACTTCTTTGGATAAATGGGCTTGCTTCTTCCCAAGTTCGTTAATTGTATCACTGTTTTTGCCCCGGATACAGCCCACCATCATGATGGTGATGGGCGTAACTGCCACTCAGCCATGGGAAAGAGCGCCCTGCTAACGGATAGAAAGAAAGGCTAGAGACTCGGTACAGAGGGCCTAGGGAAGGTGAACAAGAGCAACGAGATAAGCCCATCTGAGGGATGCCTTTACTAGGATCCTTTGTAAACCTCGCCCAACACGAGCCGAACTTCAGCTAAGCCGTCTTCACATGTTTCATCAGTAGTATACACGGTTACACTGGTAACTATGTTTCACAGAAGTTCTGGATTGTCATCGCTTCTTTCGTCTAAACTTTGCAACTCCATCCAATTTGTCAACATTCCAGTCAACAGAGTTCCTGTTATTCTTTTTTTTAATTTGCAAGGGGTCTTTGATCGTGTAAACCGTTTGTTACGTAATAAGAAACAACGCTGTCTGCGTAGCTGATTTGAATAAAATGGTCTGTCTAGCGAATGTGTTCATCTTCAATAGGTTGGCTATTCGACGTGCATTTGCGTGTACGCGCTGTCTCATTACTGATTGCATCATTTAAAGTAGTGCAAGCTAGATGTTCATTTTCCATCTGCTCATATGAATCTTTTTCGTGAAGGTTGTGTCTGAACTGTCGCTGGTGACCAAGTTTGCCCGTCATATTCAGCATTGGACCGCCGGACTCCGTATCTTTGTTGTTGTTCTTCCGAGTATACTATGAATGTACATGTGTTTTTTGTAGTTCTCAAATACGTTAGGCCTATCCACAGGCAGCTAACTGGTGTTCATTAGCATCGAGTTTGTTGGCGTTGGGGCCACGAGGAATTGGCTTTATTAATCCAGATTCGTACCCAAGATATTGAGATGGCTCAAGTGGTTGGAGCGCGAATTCACTGACCGGAAGGTCCGTGGTTCGAATCCGACCTCTGCCTCTCGACTTCCCCTGTCTAGGCTTGGGCAACCTGGCCAACCCTCGTGCTTCCTCCGGCAGCTAGGCGCTGGAAGGGTGTTACAGCTGAACGATTTATTTAACCTATAAAATCCACTTTCATCTCATCACTGGTGTTTAAACAGTACGTCCTGTGTCCGTCTAAATCATTCCTCTCCATCTCCCTGTCCTTCCCTCAGGCCCCGTGGTCTCTGACTTTCTGGCTTACCTACGAGAAAATCCGTACTGTATGTGGCGTGGGCGGCTTTTGAATGTCACCTTCCGCGTGGACCATCTTCATATGCCTTGCATACTTGATTTTACCTCCAGTTCCAAGCACCCCTCCTTTTTATTGTGGCCATTATTTTTGTTGATTCCCACGTTAGCTGCAAATAGAGGCAACTATTTTCATTCGCAAGCATCTCTTGTATCTCCATGACGTGCGGGTAATTACGGAGTACAGTCGTAGGGAACAGCATAGAAAGTTGATAACCTACTACGCCTGCGGGGGGCGAGTTAGCCCAAGTGGTTAGAGCGCGAATTCACTGACCGGAATGTCCGTGGTTCGAACCCGACCTTTGGTCCTCGACTTCCCCTGTCTAGGCTTGAGCAATATCCCAGTCCTCTGGTCTCTTTCGTGTGGCACGGCAGCTAGGCACCGAAAGGGTGCTACAGCTGAACTACGCCTGCAGAGATGATTCGTGTTTTGTGGTGTCTTTTGAAGTGGCGTCACGGGAAGTTTCGCCATGTATCTATCGTTTTTTCAAAATGGAAGAGGTGTATGGGAGCCACAGTGAGAATGTCAAAACTAGAGACTAATGATCCGAAGGAGCTGCCCGTTTTGGTACGTGCGACTATTCCGTACCTGGTCACACCCCGTGAGCTACCCGAGGCCCCGAATCTATGTTCTGAGTTGAGTACTGATCTGTATGATTGCAATGGTCGCATCAAATTTAATCTTCCTGGCCGAATTCTTGTGAGCAAGCGAATCCGGGATCTTGTCCAGATAAGCCCCGCCACCAATGCAGAAAGTGCATGTGCGAAGGGCCAAGCCCCGCCACTTATTGCCAGCTCCAGTTTAATGTACGCACATAACCTTGACCTATTTTTGATGGAAACAACTCCTTATCCGCATCTAGGCTCATTTTGTGCAAAAACGTTCTCCGTTCGCACGTAAAACCTTAAATGAACTTTCCAACGCTTTCAACCCTCGTTCATCACAAGGAGACGGCAATACCTTTTTGCAAAGCCACGGAGTGATCCATCAGCAGCGGTTATGCAACAATGGCCACCAAATGACACTCAACTGTTTCTGACAGGTGGAGGTGTAATGCCCGACAG